AACATCCAGAAGTCCAGACACCATTCCCCGAGCAACATCCAGTAAGTCCAGAACCTATAGAAGTCCAGACAAATCACAAACATCCAGAAGCCCAGACAAAAGATCAACTCCACATACCTCCAGCAATCTAGTACACATAAACCGAAATCCAGTACATCCTGTCCTGTCTACAAATGCACTCTCTCCAGAAACTCTCGCCAGTCCAGAACCATCCAGCTCAGAGCAGACAAACCTGACACCTGAACAACGACACACCCTGGGAATGTTTCTAGATCACCAACTACCCGCATTCCAACAGATAAAACGACCGACACCTTTGGTAAAGCATCGCATTCGCCTGAAAACGACAGAGCCGATCAAACAAAGGTACCGCCCTCAAAATCCGAAAATGCAGGAAGTGATCAACGAAGAGGTCGAAAGAATGCTGGACGAAGGCATTATCGAACCGTCTGACAGTCCATGGAGTTCGCCGGTAGTCATTGTTAAAAAGAAGGATGGAAAGCATCGGTTCTGCATTGATTTCCAGAAAGTGAACGATGTTACCGAGAAGGATGCTTACCCGTTACCGTTTATCAATTCCATATTAGATAAACTCCGGGAAGCCAAATACATCTCCAGTCTGGACTTAAGACAAGGATATTGGCAGATACCGCTGACCAATGATAGCAAACCTGTCACTGTTTTCACCGTTCCTGGACGAGGATTATTCCAGTTCCGAGTCATGCCGTTTGGACTCCATTCCGCTCCAGCAACATTCCAGAGGTTGATGGATCAAATCATTGGACCAGAGATGGAACCGTTTGCTTTTGCATACTTAGATGATATCATAGTACTGAGCAAAACATTCGATGAACACCTGAGAAAACTCCAGCAAGTTTTCAACCGTTTATGGCAAGCAAACCTCCAGTTAAATCCAGAAAAATGCCGGTTTTGCTTGAGTTCACTCAAGTACTTAGGACATGTAGTAACCCCTGAAGGAATCCAGACTGATCCAGACAAGATAGAGTCTATTGTCCAGTGGCCCGCCCCAAACACCCTAAGAAAACTCAGACAGTTTCTACGGATGGCTTCCTGGTATAGGAGATTTATTCCTAACATTTCCGGGATACTGGCACCACTGACCAAGTTGCTGAAGAAAGGAAACCGTTGGAAATGGACAGAAGCTCAGGATACCGCCTTTGAGTTTCTGAAAGCCCGACTTACCGAGGCACCAGCATTGACTTGTCCGGATTTTACTCAGCCTTTCGTTCTACAGACTGATGCCTCCGATTGTGGTTTGGGAGCAGCGCTTACCCAGACCATAGAGGGTCAGGAAAAAGTAGTGGCGTATGCGAGTCGCATGTTGACCGCACCTGAACGTAACTACTCCGTCACCGAGAAAGAATGTTTGGCCATCGTCTGGAGTATAGAGAAATTGAGACCATACCTGGAAGGTTATCATTTCACTGTCCTGACTGATCATTTGTCCCTGAAATGGCTGCAGTCCATCAAGAGCCCGTCCGGTCGCATAGCTCGATGGGCTATGTTCCTGCAACAATTTGACTTCGAAGTCAAATACCGCCGTGGAGTCCTGAATAAAGTTGCTGACGCTTCATCCCGTCAACCATTACCTGGGTCCAGTCCCGATGAATCTGAGATAGATGTTATGTGTTGTGTGACAGAGGCTGAAATGGAAGCCGGAGAACAATGCTCCTGGTATATAAGTAAGAAAGCCGAGGTAGAGAAAAACCCGGAGGCGTTTCCAGACTACTGTGTCAAGGAAAACCGCCTGTTCCGACATTTTTGGGATACCAACAACCTATGTGAGATAGAGATGAGCGATCCCTGGAAGCTCTGTGTTCCTAAACCCCTCCGCCAACAAGTATTGGACGAAAATCATAATGCTGTCACCGCGGGTCACATGGGGATAGCGAAGACAATCGCCAGGATCAGTCATCGCTATTACTGGCCAGGAATGTTCCGTGAAATCTCCCGATACGTCCGGAGTTGTAAAGTGTGTCAGGAATATGAAGAATTCCAGCAACAGCCTCCAGGAAAAATGAATCCTTCCCAGAACAACAAGCCATGGGCTACTATTTCCACCGATCTAGTCGGTCCGCTACCCCGATCCAGTAAAGTAAATTGCTACCTGGCTGTCTATCAGGACCGATTCACAAAATGGGTTCAAGTCCGTCCTCTCCGAAAGGCTACCTCCCGAGCTGTTGCTCAGGCCTTCTATGAGGATATCGTCCTGAGATTTGGACGTCCAGGCACTGTCATCAGCGACAATGGGGCTCAGTACACCGGAAAAGTCTTCGAAGATCTCCTGATGGAACTCGGCATAAAGCACAGACTGACACCTCCGTATACACCGCAAGCTAACCCAGTCGAGAGAACAAACAAAACCGTTAAGACCATGATATCCCAGTATTGCGAGAATGACCACCGGAAATGGGACCAACATCTTCCTGAACTCCAGTTTGCAATAAACACGGCCCGACATGACTCCACTGGGTTCACTCCTGCTTTCCTCATGTTTGGACGAGAGTTAGAGCTTCCGAAGGCCTTGCTCCGAGCCCCGGTTCCAGAGGAAGATCCCGATGCCCCTGTTCCAGAAGGAAATCGCGAGAATACTCTGACCTTCTGGGTAGCACACATGGCCAAATTGAAAGAAGTTCATGAGTTGGTCCGCGTGAACTTGGCCAGAGCTTTCAATAACCAGAGTCATTACTACAATCTCCGCCGCCGAGATTGGAGATGTCACCTCGGGGACAAAGTAATGAAGCGAGAGCACAATCTCTCTTCCGGGATCCGCGGTCACGCCGCCAAACTGGCCCCGAAATATTCCGGACCATTCACTGTGGCCCAAGTCCTGTCACCAGTTGTCTACAACCTGAGAAGTGCAACCGGGAAACGTTGCAACCGAGTTCACATGAAGGATTTAAAGCCCTTTCACCCCGAGACGTAGCTATGGGATTTCTGTCCGTAGGTATGACGTTGCCGGCACTCCAGGATGTCGAAGAGCCCAGAATCCGGGTCCTTCAGAATGTGGTAGTGATCTCTGCCCCCACTCCGGACCACATCCAAATGGAGGACCTGGAGTTCCTAGACGCCCTCCCGACGCCCCCCAGACCGGTTCCAGGAGGAGATGGTTCCCCCAGATCCCCGCGAGTGGATGCGATATTCGCATTATCAACTCCCCGGCTGGAAGGACTAGAGGCCGAATTTCACTTGCAATCTCCGCTGTACTTCAATCCCCCTGACCTCGCCCGCATCCTCGCCGGTAACATCACTCCTGAACCCAGTCCAAACTTCTCCCCCCCCGCCCAGTCCTCGATCCTGGAGGGCGACTGAGTACCCGATACTACATCATCGGCTTACCCACCAGTCGCCTCCATTTTCCCTGCTTCAGCAAGCCCTGACCCGCACTCCCCCTGCCTCCCACTCCCCAACACCGGAGCCCAAAGAGGAACGCCTGCCGTTGCCGCGCTCGCCTGCGGGAACTTTACCCCTCTCCGCCCGACGGTAGGCAGCAGCGGAGATTGAGCGACACCAGTCTCGAGCCGATTGGTCACCACTGCTGGAGTCGATCGTCCAGGAGTTGCGACCGGCTGGCCGACGGACTGACCGGCGATGTAGGGTGCGAGTACGCACGGGGCCTGGGAAAGCGGTGTGGATAACCATTCCACCCAAAGTAAAGCCGAAAAACCAGAGTCCTGAGAGTGAGAAAAAATTAATGTTATGTTCTGTTCACAGCCATGAACGAGTTCCTGGAGATTCGAAACTCACCCCTGCCCTCGCCCCTGCCGATCTACGACACCGCCGGATGGGAAAGCGACCCCGAGACGCCAAATTTTGTCGGGCTTGGCGCACCCAGCCTGAACCCTCTCGACACCGGCATCATCATCGCGGTTGCCACCAGTCTCGGCGAATCCAGCATGACTACCATCAACTCCGGCATCATCGTCGCGGATGCCACCAGTTCCGGCGAACCCAGCCTGACTACCCCCCGTCCAGGCGAATCCAGCATGACTACCAGCAATCCAGGCGAACCCAGCCTGACTACCCCCCGTCCAGGCGAATCCAGCATGACTACCAGAAGTCCAGGCGAACCCACCCTGACTACCATCAGCTCCGGCATTATCATCGCGGATGCCACCAGTCCAGGCGAACCCAGCCTGACTACCCCCCGTCCAGGCGAACCCAGCCTGACTACCCCCCGTCCAGGCGAACCCAGCCTGACTACTACCAGCCCAGACACCACCGCGGCTTCGACGCGGTCCGCGGAGCCATTCGTCCCGAACTCCTACTTCAAGGCCACCATAGGCGTAGGAGAGTTCCAGCTGACCTATCTTCCGGTGGCGCAGCAACTGTGTTGGCGTTGCGGAAGACCGGGACACCGGCGAGAAGGGTGTACTCGACCGTTAAGGTGGTTCTGCTCGCGCTGTGGATTGGATGGCGTGCGGTCATGCGACTGCCAGTGTCCCAGACCCCCGAGAAGATACCCGGAGCACCTCCCAGTGCTCATCCCGGCTCAACCCACCACCACCAGCCGGACCACCAGGCCACCAGCCCCGACGCAGGTCAACCGACGGACCCAGACGTCCACCCCAACCGTCTCCGATCGAGGCGTCCAGTGCTCGCGCTGCTCGTGTGAGAGAGTGCGCCCCGGATACCGGTATTAGCCGGCAGAATTACTTCACAGCAGGCATCTCGCCCTGCTCTCCAGATCTAGTCACCAGAATAATTTCACGGCAGGCATCACGCCCTGCTCTCCAGATCCAGTCATCAGAATAACTTCCTGGCAGGCACCTCGCCTTGCTCACCAGAACCAGCTACCAGAAACACGTCACAGCAGGCATGTCGCCTTGCTCACCAGAACCAGTTACCAGACGAGGATACTTAAGTTAATTGAGTCAATAGGTATATGTATACAAAAAAAATTGCAGCTGAAGCTTCAATTTTTTTTTTCCGTAAGAAGAAGGGGTGTGTAATGAAGTGTTTTTTAGGACTTCATTAGGTGTGCTCGTATGGAGTAGACGTGGTAAACTCGAGCTGCCGCTGATCTGCGAAACTTATAACTAATTGTGCGAAAAAAAAATAAACTTTTTAGTTTGTGACTGGTTGAGTGTTTGAGTTGGAGAGATAATTTTACCTGATATCCCAGTAAGTCATATTTTATATCATTATTATGATGAGCACGAGGCATAACAAAAAGGGCGAGGATGATCTGCTCTCAACAATTAAATCGGTTGTCACCAACCTCTGCACATCTGAAGATTTCATTAACATTCTATGCAAGTCAATTACAAAAGTCATAAGTGAAAAGTTTGAACGTGAAATTGATTCGCTCAAGAAAGAGAATGAAAAACTTCAGGATACCATAGCAAATCAAAATATAATAATAAATGGAATGGAAAGGAAACAAGAGAAATTTGAACAATCCTTACGCAGCAAGAATCTTCGAATATATGGAGTAAAAGAAAACAGAAATGAAAATTGTATTCAAAATATCTTGGAAATCATAAATGAAAGGATGAAATTGAAAGTGAGTGAATCGGATGTTGAGAGTTGCTACAGAGCGGGAAAATTTGTGGCCGATTCAAATAGGCCAATTATGGTTAAATTTTATAATAGATATCACAAACACATGGTTTACAATAATAAGAAACTTCTGAAGAAAACTGGAATCATCATACGTGAGGACCTGACATATGAACAAATTAAATTATTGAAAGCTGCAATTTCAAGAGTGGGAGAAACTGGAAAAGTATGGACAAACCAGGGGAAATTATTCATCAAGCTTGATACTGATAAAAATCACCATCAAATCAACTCCATGGAAGACCTAGCTAAAATCTGATTATTTTTCTTTCCTTTTTTTTGTGTTTTTTTTTTTTTCTTTATATATACAAATACACTAGCGGTTATTTCAATATTTCTCGGTGAATATGTATTTAATTTATTTTGTATTCATTATATATTTCGGAATCATCTTCAATATGGAGAAAATCATTTAATCCATTCACGTACATTGAAATGAAAATTTTTGCACATGATTATTAATAATTATTGTTACTTTTTATAACCAGCAGTAATGCGTGCAGTTGAGTCTCACCCAAATAGGCTTATACTCTGGTATTTCACTTGCCATTATCGTTGTTTTTCACTTAGTTTTTTTCTTTATTTCTTTCTCTTTACTTTTATTATCATTATTTTGGTAGCTTGATATTTTTAGAGGAATTATCTGGTTAACATGACACCTGCATTTCTACGGGTCGGTAGTTTGAATGTTAGATCATTATTACCATCACTGCAAGAAATCAAATTATTAGCTTCAGTACACGACTTCGACGTTTTTCTCATATGTGAATCATGGCTCACAAATAATATAAGTGATGATATGATTTATATTGAAGGATACAAACTATATAGACTTGATCGTCGCACCAGAGGTGGCGGCGTATGCATTTTTATTAGGGATTTTTTCTGTAGTGAAAAAATCAATATCCAGGGCATCTGCTGTGAACAGTTATGGATCAAGGTATTGATACAAAAAACGAAAATAGCTCTTGGAGTAATATATAAACCCCCAGCTCAGGATGACGTTTCTTTTATTGATGAGTTTGAAGACACATTGAGTGTAATTTATCCCTCGGTGGACAGAATTATTTGTGGAGGAGACTTAAATATTAACTTCGCGCAGTATGATAATGCCACTGTTGAAAAAATATTATCAGTTATGCAATGCTTTGGTTTGAGCCAAGTAATAGAGAACCACACAAGAATAACGGAAACCACATCCTCCCTATTAGATGTAGTGGTAACTGAAAAGGAATGGGTAATAGACAAGGGTGTTGTTGATGTGATTGGGGTAACTGATCACATGTTGGTTCATTGTAAAATAAATATCATAACTGGCGAAAAAAAATTCAAATTTCATACCTGTAGAAACTTCAAATATCTGAACGAATATGATTTCAGTAGAGACTTATACAACATACCTTTTTTTAATATTTATGATCAAGAGGGAGTCGATGAAAAAATTTCATTCCTGGTTAATTGTTTAACGAACCTTTTTGATAGACATGCACCATTAACAACATCAAGGATAACTAAAAAGCCTGCTCCCTGGCTGACAGGGACCTTGAAAGAAATGATGGGAATAAGGGACAAAGCTTTTAATAGATATAAAAAATCAAAATCATTAGCTCATTTTCAGTTCTACAAAGACATGCGAAATTACACAAATCAGGCAGTCAAGAGGGAAAAAAGAGCTTATTTCGCTTCTGAATTCAGTAGGAATGATAAGAAAAATTTTTGGAAAACGTTAAAATCTAATAATTTTTTACCCGATAAAAAACGTGATATTCCAGACGATTTGAAAAATCCAAATGAACTCAACAACTTCTTTGTCAATTCTATTCCTTTTCAGGAGCCGCCTGTAGAACTCATTTCTTTTTATAGGGAAAATAAGCTGATAGACCATGATTTCAAATTCCATGAAGTAAATGATATGTTCATATTCAAAACTATTTCTAATATTAAATCAAATGCAATGGGTAGTGATTTTTTGAACATAAAACTTATTAAAATGTGCTGTCCACATATTATTCCATACATAACGCATATTGTCAACTTTTGCCTCATGAATGAGATTTTTCCATCTGTATGGAAGAGGGCACTTGTGAAGGTGTTGCCTAAAAAAGCGAATCCAATGAGTTACAATGATCTACGTGCTATAAGTATATTACCAACTTTATCTAAGCTACTTGAAAGAGCCATTGAGGAACAACTGAAAGAACATATTAACCATTTATCCATACTTCCGAATACTCAATCTGGATTTCGTAAAGGTTACAGCTGCACAACTGCCCTGTTGCATATAGTTGATGATATTATAAGATCCAGTAACTTGGGTGAAAACACTATACTAGTTCTTCTAGACTTCAGTAGAGCCTTCGATACAATCAATTACAATTTAATGTTGTCAATATTGGGTTACATTGGAATTTCTAACAGTGCAGTATCTTTAATCAGATCATTTCTCAATGACCGTCAACAAATTGTCTCTATCGATGGAAATCACTCACAATATTTAAATCTACGTTGTGGGGTACCCCAAGGTTCTATTTTGGGACCCTTGCTATTCGCTATTTATACTTCGCAGCTTATGAAATGCCTTCAGTTTTGTAATATCCATCTGTATGCAGACGACACACAGCTATATTATAGTTTTTCCTCGGACAAGGTGGATGATGCTTGTAGTAGAATAAATAGTGATTTGAACTCATTTGTAGATAAAGCCTCTGATCATTGTCTGATGATAAACAATAGTAAATCTAAAGTCATTGTTTTTGGTCCCAAGCACACTAGGAATACTGTTCGATTCCACACTAATATTAAGATAAATGATGAGCAACTGGAGGTAGTACATGAAGCGAAGAGCCTAGGGGTAATTTTAGATGAAGACTTGAGATTTGAAAAGCATGTAGCTCAACTTGTCAATCGTGCATATTACTCACTTAAAGTTATTTATGGCAACAAGTATTTTTTACCACCTAAAGTGAGAACAACATTATGTGAAGCCTTGGTCCTATCTGTTTTCAATTATGCCGATGTATTGTATGGCCCATGTTTAACCGTTCGGTTCAAACAAAAAATCCAAAAGGTTCAGAACTCATGCCTACGATTTATTTTTGGTATCCGAAAAAAAGAGAGAATATCTCACAAATTGAAAACTATCGGATGGTTAGACATGGAAAATAGGAGAAAACTACATGCTGCCACTTTATTCCACAAGATAATCATGGAAAAAAACCCTCCTTACCTACATGAGAAAATTTCGTTTAGAACTGACGTGCATAATCTTAATATAAGGCACAAAGGCCGACTTACCCCTCCAATATTTCGTTTGGAGATTTTTCGAAGATGTTTCACGTACCAGATATATGCAATGTATAACGGCATTCCTGATTCAATCAAACAGAAAAATGTGTATCGGTTCAAAAATGAATTCACTGAATTTCTTTTGCGGTAACTGATTCTAACATTCAAACCACCTATCTCATCCCTATGTTAATATCACCCCTAATAATAACTACCATTTAGCGATTATATTTGATTATTATTTATATTCTTCATAGAAGCATTAAGCGATATGTTCTAGGTTGAGTGGAAGAGCAATCTCAATGGTGATTCGTCACTATTGAAATTGAACTCCGCCTTTAATTTTCTTCCGAAGTTAAATATGTTATATATATATATATTATTTTTATTCTAATGACTGTACCGTTGAAGAGGAAGAAAATAATAAAGACGATATTATTATTATTATTATTATTATTATTACTAAGCAACGGTTTCTATCTAAATTCCTGTCTTATCGTATAGATTTCCATTCCGAGCTAATATTCCAGTGAAATCAGTTATCACCCAAGATACAGGGGTCCCATAATTGCTTATAATTCAGATACTAACCTTCTATTCGACATCTAGCTGATATTGAAAATATGCAGTTCGTTACACACCTCCTCATGAAATACCTGTTCTGAGAGATATCAAGCTCGTATATCAACTACTAGGGATGTCTTTCGTGTCATTATAGCCCTGTCCTAGCTCCAGAAATTGACTCTTTGATATACAAGTACGGGAAGTTCTTTGGTAGCCTCTATTATGTTTGGAAAGCAATCCTGATGAATAGAGTGAAATGTTAGCCTGTCTTGGAGATGCGAGAGGACTTCCTGCAACTTTTGAAAGCCCCTGATTGTAAGATTTCCTGAAAATTCATAATTTCCACATGTTCGGCCTGGACCTTGAAGATGCAAATATTTACCTAGCAATAACTTGAATATTTCTGCTTGTAGGATATAAAAATTGATTCAGTAGCTCCCGCAGAGAAAGTTGATCAGGTGCCTAGGCTCTTTTGGCCAAGGAAATATTATTTCCGCATTTTTCTTTTTCCAAGGACAACTTCGGATTTCACGGTTGTTACCGGCATTTTCATGAGGTCAGTCGAAGCTAGCCAATCAGGAGCAAGGATAGCTGTTGGCCTTGCTCAAGTTGCGTCAAGGTCTAGGCAGGACATAAATACTCGGTCCATCAGAGCGAGGAGTTAGTTAGTTCGCAGTCAGTCCAGAGTGAGTTAGTCCGACAGTCAGTTAGTTCTTTGAGTTCGATTCTCTGGTATTACTTTCCAGTCGGTTTACCAGTGTTCCTGTGCTTGCGCTATTTTTCCAGTTCACAATTCCTGATAGTTTTCCAGTTATTTTTCCGGGTAGTTACTCCAGTTTGCTTCACATTCCAGTTCAGATTCCTGTCCCTTTCCACATTTCCAGTCAGTTCAATTCCAGCATATTCTTCAGTTTTGCGGTTCATGCCTTTTGCTACAATTTGAGAAATCATAACCTAACTCCTGTCACCTGTATCATTTTCCAAAAAATCCATCGAGTGTGTAGATTTGCGTCTCCCGGGCCGATATCCGAACCTTCGCGGTCGCGCCAGTTGCAGTGTCGAGTGTTTCGCAGCCAGCAGTACTCCTGTTTCATCCAAGTAAGCTATTTCAAATTGGTTTGCGTACGCTTATTGTATGGCTTATAGTTTATCACCCTGTACTAAGTGAGTTTTGTATCGAGTAAAATATCGCCTGAGTAGATTGACACCTTGTCTGGTGAAGAATACTCCACGTTCAGACGTTCAGAGTTAATAAGTAACGTAGCTGTTGTATCGAAAATAGTAGTGTCTCCTAAGTTTTGCTCTGCGGCTCAACCTTTGGGTGGATCTCGCCACGAGCTTAGGGACACTCTACTCCGATTGTTTCGAGATTGGAAGCCCGCCTGTGTGGATCCAGGGCCCGTCTCCTTTTGTTTGAGAAAAGTAGGATTCGCAAGTCAACC